TTTTAACTGAATACACATAATGGGGTTTGGTTAACATAATACGCATAAACTCATAACACAATACATATAAAATTTTAACTGAATACACATAATAGGGTTTGGTCTGTTCGGACGAACGAAGTGACGTCAGCAAGAAACGCGCGCGTTTTGTCTGGGCACACATTACTATGTGCGTCGTGGTGCACGATATAAATTGCCACTCTCTGATTTTTTCAAATAAGCATAGTCGTTGAAGCAACGGACTAATTCCACAAGATAACTGATATAAAAATGCATAGAAAAAACCTTTTATGTTCCTTGGATTTGAATATAATGTTCTTCTCCAATCATTCTTATTTTCATATTTCTTTGTATATGAACTCTCTATATAGTTTATCTGAAAGGGGCAAAGATTTTATAGTTGAAAATCGATGTAAATGTAAACACCTCTTAATTAATTAACATTCCTTAGCTTATGAATACCAAACTGTGGAATAATGAATCCACCCATGTACAATCCATCCTTGAAGATGCTTACTCAGAGAAGCTTTGAGTTGGGTTAAAGTAGCGGGGTATGATCACGGTAGAGATAGACACCCTCCAAGTCTACCAAGATATTCACAACAACACTTGTACCTCTACCTCCGGCTTACTTTTTTTTTTTTTGAATGTTACCTCCGGCTTACTTATTAATAATGTTAAAGAAATTGCTAGGACTTTCTACTGTATTAAATTTTCTTGTGTTAAATGGTCTGCGAATCAAGTTTTTTATGTATTAGCTAATGAATCGATTCTCATGTCTGACCGTATGGAGTGGTTCTTTAACCCTCTGGATTTCATTGTTGACGTCGTTCTTGGTTCAAATTTAGTTATTTAATGAATCTCTGTTGTTGTTTTGTTTCAAAAAAATAATAATTTAACATTCCTTATATACACGGTGTGATAATCCATCCGATATATAACTAAATAGGAAAAAAAAAATTGTAAAATTGAGCAATGGATTGATAAGTTTGATGGAAGAAATGAATAGTTTGCCTAAATAGGAAAACTCTTCTTTGATAAATTTTCATATGTTAATATATTAAAATTATTGAATTACTAGTGAATTAGTTGATTCTAATGCAAATTACTATTCATTAATGAAAGAGAGACCGAGAGGGAGGAATATCACATTCCTTACAAACATTAAAAAAAAAAAAAAAAAAAAAAAAACTACCATAAATTTGTATCCATTAGGTACTAATTGGGCAGGTATAATTTTATGGGCACTAAAAAATTCATAGATGAAAGGGTGCACAGGAAAGCAAGGCCCCACTTGATTGAGTCGAAGTGCAAACTTACATCTAATGAATTGGTTATCGCGGAGCAATGATCCATGATAGAGATTTCAAAATTCGCTGTGATAAGTCCTAAGAAGATCTCCAACTATGATTCTGTTGAAATTTTTACAATTATGTGGATGTGAGAGATGGTGATAAGGAGAGGAGAGAAGACAAGAAAGAGGAGAAGAAATATGTTGCAGGAAAATAGATTTATTGTGGAACCCACAAGAAAAAAAGAAAAAAAAAATTCTGCTTCGCGTGCACGATTAGTGCACCTCTCATGCCCAGCCAGTTGGCACGTGCAATGCACACACCAACCAGGCGCGTGGTAGGTAGTTTTCAAAAATTTTCTTCCCCCCCCCCCCCCACTCCCCCCCTCCTCTCTCCCCTTTTTCCTCCCTTTACCTCGCGTTCGCTATCTTATTTAGCATTTAAAATCTCTTCACGAAAACCCAACAAATCGGTTTTGCTCTGAGAGGGAGGAATATCACATTCTTTACAAACATTCAAAGAAACTATCATAAATTTGTACCCATTAGGTGCTAATTGCCTAATTGGTCAAGTATAATTTTATAGGCATTCAAAAATTCAAAGATGAAAGGGTGCAGAGGAAAGCGAAGGCCCCGTTTGATCAAGTCGAAGTATACACTTACATATAAGGAATTGGCTTTCGTGGAGCAATGATCCACGATAGAGATTTCAAAATTCGGTGTGATATGTGATAAGACCATCTACAACTGTGATTCTTTTGAAATTTTTACAATTATGTGGATGTGAAATGGTGATATGGAGGGAAGAGAAGACAAGAGAGAGGAGGATGAATATGTTGCAAGAAAATAGATTTTTGTGGAACCCACAAGAAAAAAGAAAAAAAAAATTCTTCTTCGTGTGCAGGTTTAGTGCACCTCTCGTGCCCAGTTAGCACGTGCACTGCACGCACCAACTAGGCGCTTGGTAGACAGTTTTTAAAATATTTGCCTTTTTCTTTTGTTTTTTTCTCCTTTTTCCTCCCTTTACCCAGTCTTCTCTATCCTATTTGGCATTTAAAATCTCTTGCACAAAACCCAACAAATCTGTTTGCTTTAAAAGATATTTGGCTTTTGAAAGGTATAAAGGGGAAATTTTGGACTTTATGGTTTGAGCCACGTTAGGGTTTAGGCTATAGTAGAGAGGTTTTTTTGGCAAAGGGAAGGGCAGGGCGACGCTTATGTTTGGTGGCTTTAGATTGGCCATGGGAAACATATGATTATGGGGAACCACCTTGTACTTGTAGTGTTGGGGAGGAAGATGCGGATTGGTTAGGACGAGGTACACTAAAAAAAAAAAAGATTGGATAGGACGATTTGCATTTGGTGGTAGACGAGGAGGACACATCATGACATACACTCACTCACTCACTCCCCGTGAATTATCAAATTAAAGAATTGAAGGGGCCGGGGTATATATAAGACCCTAGATGAGTCATCAATGATCCTTTGTATATGAGTGTGGGGGTGGAGGTTTTTTTAAAATAAATTCACCAATACTTAACATCTATAATAATTGCAAGCTTTCAAATTTGAAATATTTATAAACTCAATCATATCCGGTATCCCACCTTTTTTTCCCTTACATTTTAATAAACCTCAACCATTGATCTTCTCAAATTATATTGATGGATGAGATCACACCTCACTTTTAAATGAGAGTCTCTTATACCTTCCCTTATGTGTGTGTGTAAGGGAGGGTTCAAATGAGAACATGGTCATCTTGTAAAAAGTGAGGATTGATCACAGCGGTCAATCATAATTCATCAATGGTTTAATGTTTTATTTAAAAAAATGTGATTCATTTTTATAATTATTGCAAACTTTCAAGTTTGTAATATTTATAAAATAGACACTGCCAATGTTTCCTTTATTTTTCAGCCACATACCCTCAATTGTTGATCTACCTAGGTGAATAGATCATATCGATCCTCACTTCTACTTGAGATCATGTTCTCACTTGAACCCTCCTTTTATAATGAACTGCTTGATGATTCTTGAAGCTTGAAACTCACAACATAGCTTATTTTGTATCCCTCTAATAATGATCCAACACTTCACACAAGTTACAACTGCCATCGAAATGAAATTATCAATTCTTTCTTAATTCATCGATCAACTAATAATTGACCTTTTTAGGTGATGAATGAGGAAAATCTGTCGCCACAATCTAAATGTATACATTGAGTAAACTCTACCTTTTGACTATATTCGACAAAAAGTTACAAATAAGTAAATTAAAGTAAGCTAAGAGCATCTATACCAGTGTTTTTTTTTTCTCAGTTTTTTTGGAACAGTAGCAAATTTAAGGTTTGGTTTTTGGTTGATATGGGGTGGGGTTTTTGTTCAATTTTAACTATTGCAAGTTAAAAGAATTTTGTGGGGTCCACATTTGGAGAAGAGAAACAAAATAGTGTGTCTGTCTCCGCGTGATGGGGACGCTGCCGCCCAGCCGGACGTGTTTCTTCTTTATGTTTTTTTTTTTTTTTGAATTTCTCTAATTTCGTGTCAGGCTTCTGCGTGCATGCTTTGTTTTTTTCTTTTTCTTTTTTTCCCCTCCCTCTTCTCACTCCTATTTGGCACATAAAAACCACAAAAAACCTGGCCTATACAATTGTGGATGCTCTAAGTTGTCATAACTAACCAGATAAAGAAAAAAACAAAACAAAACAAAAAAAAAAAACCAAAAAATTAAAACTAATAAAAGATCCATAATAGTGAAGTTTTTTTTTTTTTTTTTTTTTTTGTGATTTTTGAGAAGTTTTTGTAAGTGTGATTAGGAAAGAGAACATGGAAGGGGAGAGAAAAAAGAGGGAAAAAACAAAACAAAACAAAACTGATTTTTTTGAAAAATAAAAGAATAGACTGTCAGGGGATCGTTATGCCATAGAACCGTGTTCACCATGGATGATGAACACGGTCCCAACGGTAACAGTGCACTGTTATCTTTTTTTTTTTTTTTTTTTTCCCTTAATTAACCGCGTGACTTTTCTTCTTCAGTTTCACATTTTGTGGTTTCACTTCCTCTTCGCGCAAGCTTCTTCAACATAATCTCATAAAAAGAAAATTCATAATTTCATAACTGCACATTCATAAATCCATGCCTACACATTCATAATTGCATGGATTTATGAATGTGCAGTTATAAAATTATGAATTTTCTTTTATGAGATTATGAATTTTCTGTTATAAGATTATGAATTTTCCGTTTGGACCCGTGTTCACCATTCATGGTGAACACATTTCCAGAGCATAATTTGTCCTGTCGAGCGCGCCTGACATGTGCACTGCACGGGCCTGTGTGGGCATTTGTTGTGCGCGAAAAGCGGTCAGTCTCAACCTTTTCCTCTGATCACATTACTATTCAAAAAACCCATCCTTACATAAGAATCAAATCCTTCTCTCTAATTTGTCAACGATCACTATTTCAATATCTCCTAAATATGCACGGATAAGGATGTTATTAATGAGCAGCATCTGGTCAACCAATCGAATTATACACCAGCATACTAGGGGATATCAAACAAGCTACAGCTGGCAAGAGTTATACCTGAATTGGGTTTGGTAAATGGTCAAAACTGGCCGCCAATTTGGACCCGTTTGAAAGCACACTGCACGCAGTATTAAATGCAGGGATATAATTTGAACAACAAACCTATAAATATAAGCCCCCACTACATGTATTCCATGTCCATCCACCTCACTACTCGGCAAAATTTCAGTCTACTTTCTGCTTTTGCTATAAATTCAAGAATGAACAAATTTATCCCACGCTTTCTTCTCCTTACACTCTCTCTTGCTTCACTTTCGTCGCTCGTCTTCACCGATGAGACCACTCCCGATTTCTTCTCCATCATTTTCCAAGTATGTATCTTCTTCCTTCTTTGAGTTTACAGTGCTACAGACACGGCTGGAAATTCCAGATCATCTGAAAGTGATTTTAAAAAGTCGAAAGTTTTGTTCTGACCATTTTTGATATCTGGAAAAACTTTTGTTGCTATTTCCGATCATTTTTTACTTTCGACTTGATTTAAGATAACTTTCAGGAGGTCGAAATTCCATAATTTCCAGCAGTGAGAATACAACTAGCTAGTAATAAAGGTGATTTACTTTCTTTATAATGAATTAACTACTGTAAATCTTGTGGTTAATCAGTGGCCAAAGGCAAAATGTGAAAGCAAAGAAGGTTGTTGCCTCCCCAAGAAAGGAAAGCCTGTGTTAAATGATTTCATCATTTCTGAGTTCAAACCAGTTTATGCCCAAGAGGGACTGGTTCCAGAAAATTGCACAACCACAACCAAATTCCAGCCATCTAAGGTAAACTATTCTTTTAATACTCAGCCTGGGTAAAAGATTCCAATAGAATGAAGTAGAATCTTGTTGGGTAGTATATTAAAAGTAGAAATCTTAAGTTGCACTGCTGGAAATTATGGAATTTCTGACCACATGAAAGTAATCTTAAATCAAGTCGAAAGCAAAAAGTGGTCGGAAATAGCAACAAAAGTTTTTCAGGATACCAAAAGTGGTCGGAATAAGGCTTTTGACTTGATTTAAGATCACTTTCAGGTGGTCGGAAATTCCATAATTTCCAGCAGTGTTGTTTCATACTAAATCCAACTATTTCCTAAGTAATTATAGTTTATTATAGATTGCAGATTTAGTTCCAAGTTTGGAAAGGTATTGGCCATCTCTGACCTGCCCTAGAAGGGACAGTAAGAAGTTATGGAAAGAAGAATGGGTGAGGTATGGAAGTTGTGCAGAATCAGTTGTTGATCTGCATGATTACTTTGCAGCTGCCCTAAGAATACAAAAGCAAATTAATCTCCTCAAACTTTTGGGTGATGCAGGTAATAACTATATAAGTTTGAAAATGTTTTATTTTACTATAGTTTGGTAAGTATATAAGTTTGGAAAATGATTACAGGAATCATACCAAACGGAAAGTATTATCCCGGGGAGGCGATCAATGAAGCGGTAAGGAAAGCGGGATTAGGGGACGCGGCAGTAACATGCCGAGAAGACGAGGATGGTTTGTACACCATTCTGGACCAAGTCATTTTGTGTGCTACTCGACTGGGCAACAAGTTTACATGCCCCGGCGCTTTCTGGATTTGTGATAGCAGAAATGGCAATAAAGTTAAATTCCTCAAACCTTAATTAATTACGTACTTAGAGGGAATAAGTTATTGGTACATGGCTATTCGCCATGCAATAGTTTTAATTTGTTGTACCATAGTGATGAAAATAAAGAAATAAATCATGTAGTACTACATTATTAATAAAGTTCGATGGGGCTGAATTGACTTTATGAAACAATTCGATAAGTTTATTCATTTCTAAATGGATTCGAATATCAATACTATTTTGTACATAATTGAGAGACAAAAAATATTATTATTTTTTCTCTAATTATTCACTGGGTAAATTTCACTATAGTGTAATAGCTTGCAAACCAAATAGAAGAGGTAAATCACATTAGGAGAACATCGCAACAAATCTCACCACCTATTTAATAGCTCATAACAAATAGGTTCAACCGAAAGAGTGTTGACAATAGTCAAACCATGACCTTTAAGTACAACAGTCATGCATCACCCACTTGACCACCGATTTTAGGTCAATGTCATTTTTAATTTTTGGAATTATAGACCTTTAAGTACAACAGTCATGCATCACCCACTTGACCACCGCTTTTAGGTCAATGTCATTTTTAATTTTTGGAATTATATGGAAGATTTTTAAAATTTGTAATGAATAATTGTATACTTATCTTATAATTTATTATTGTACTTTTTAACATGTTTTTATTCTTTATAATTTGTTATTAAAATTTATGATAATATAATTTCTTCTCGGCATCGCTAAAGTTTAAAAAAAAAAAACACCAATTAAGTAAAATGGGAAATTAAAAATTCATCTTTGAATTATAAGGAAATACGGAGTAATATTTTTGTCGTCCCTCAATTATTCTCAACAATACTTTTTGTTCTTCAATTATTTGGTCTTCAATTATTTGCAAAGAGATTTTTTCATTTTTTTAGAATTTGATTAAAAAAGACACTTTGCAAAAAATTGATAGATAGGAAGCAAGAGGAACTTAAAGAAAAACGCTATTTTATATTTCTCTATAATTTAAAGATAAAGATAGAAAGTGTAATTTTTCCTAAATATAATTATAAATATATAAGATTTATAATAATGATGATACAGTTATAAAGATATAAATCTTTTTAGCGTACTCGGCCACTACACGGGGGGCGGCCTACGGTTTATACCTCCAAGATGCGAACGGCAATTTTATGGCAATCAAGAATGGTCCATTACTACTTTGTCACGGACCCTTTATGGCGGAGGCATATGCATGTAAGGAGGCCCTGTCCTGGCTTAGGGATCGGGGGATCACGGAGATGGAGTTACGATCAGATTGTTCAGACCTGTGTCACGCTCTTGGCAATTCAGCGACGTAGTTTCGCACTTATGAAGGTTTAGCTGTTTCAGCATGTCGGGATTTAATGGGTCTTTTTGTTTCCTGCTCTGTTGTTTATATTTCTCGCACTTCAAATTTTTTAGCGCATTCGTTAGCTCAGTCAGCCTCTACACAGGCATACTCAGATCTATGTTATGGGAGGATACCCCTCCTGCCTTTATTTCGGCTTTGATTGATTAATATATTCAGCAGTTTACTTTCAAAAAAAAAATCTTTTTAGCAATAAATATATAATGCACTAATAGAGATTTATTCTTTCCAAACTAATAGAGATTTATAACTACATGCATGTGAATAACAAAAAACTTAAGCGAGGAATTTTAAAGGGTAGTCACCTCTTTGTTAAGTATGTATGTGTGTGTATATATATACACACAAGCTAGTAATAATACGTGTATTGCACGATTAAATTAATACCCGATATGAAAACTATAATAAATAAATAACTCACAAGATCTTATATATATATATATATATATATATATATATATATATATATATATATATATATATATAAACAAAATGATTTGCCAAAGCAATTATATCATGGACCATGACTCAAAAACGGGGCCGTTTCTTTAAGTAAAGAAACGGCAGCCATTACAGTTTAACGGAACACGTTTTTTTTTTAGTGCGTTAATTATTGAATGAAACTACAGTGTATTTAAACTGACACTACTTCATGTATTATTTTTATGTACTCTTGTTATATTAAAATGAAACTGTAGTGTATACACAATAAAACTAAATATGTTATACAATCAAAGTTACTTTTTATGGAACGGGGCGAAAAAAGTGCCGTTTCTTTTTATACAATCACAAGTTGGACCATCTCTCATCAAAGCCCAATCCAAGCATCATTTGTCTCACAAAAGGCCACTCCATCCTGTCATATGAATTTGCCATATCCAGTTTCAAAGCTGCCCACCCAACCTGCCCCAATTGTTTCCTCCTCAAATAGTGACCAACCTCGGATGCAATAAGAATGTTATCCGAGATTAATCTGTCGGGTAAGAAGGCACTCTGGGGGACTGAAATAATACCCTCTAGAAGCGGTTTCATGCGATTTGCAATCATTTTGACCATTATCTTATACAGCACATTACATAAAGTTATTGGCCTAAAATCAGACACAGACACAGAAAAAAATCACTCCAACACATTCAACTGTCAAGATTTGTCAAATATCATCGAGATAGGTATCAACAATAACTACTCCAAGTAACTCATTCCAATATCACGTGCCTTGTCAACCAATTTTTGCGGATTTTTATTTTTTTTAACTAGAAATAGAAAAAATTACAAATACAAATTGAGCAAGAGAATAGTAAGTCTGAATGGAATAAAATTAAAGACAGTAAAATATAGTAAGCAGATATTAAATATCTATTTTGTTAAAAATGAAAAAGAATATTTTCTTACTTTTAAATTTATCGTAACGATCAATGGCCAACTAAACTATAATTTTAAGATAAACAATCAAATTTTTTACCCAAAAACCTAATATTTTAAGCCAGCACAAAGAAGTTTGAAATACAACTAGGGGACAATCAAACCATCCAATATTTTTATTTTTTACTGTGATAATTCATACCAAAACATTTTTTATATAAATTATTCAAAAGTAAAATATAATGTGTTCTTTCTTTAATTTGTCCAAATTTACAGAAAACATTTATATTTGAATAATCAATATTTTTTTTATTGATAATTCATTATATCTTTGAAAAATCAATACATCGATCAACGATCCTAACAACATCGATAGTAAATCAGTTTTGATAAAATTATGTGTGATACAAACCTTAGATTATTTGTGATTACTATGATTGGAATTTTTGGAAAATATTATTTTGAATCAAATTTCCATTTATGGCATCACAGAATCTTATTCCATAATATAATTTGTCCACTCAGATTTGACATATCTAAATTTATGATTAACCTAACAATATTATTTTATGACCTAGGTCCATGATATAATCTGCTGGACCTAGACTAAGATTGGCTAAACCTCGTCATGTACCCTTGGTCTCACATTCTATTTTTGGGAATTTAGCTGTAATAAAAATATATTAAAAAAAAACTTTTTTTTAACATACAAAGAATAATCAACAAACCATATCAAAGTGGACAGATCCATTGTGCACACCAAATTTTTTTTTTTAAAACTATTTTTAGCCAAAAATTTGGCCCGGGGCTAAAATTCTAAAAATGAGAAAATTTTAATAATTATGGTTCTAAATTGACAATTTTGAAACTTGCGGACTGCAATTAACAACACCACAATAGTCATATAACCAAAAGTGATAATTTCCATGGTAAAAAACTAAAAAATGACCAGAATAGACAAAATAAAACGCAAAATATACCAAAAAATTATATTTAAAATTTATAATAACAAGACAAGAAATGCTTTAAAAGTCATGTTGCATTTAGATTGTATCAATTGTTATTCATGAATCCACCCTCGATCACTATCATGTTTATTGTTTTCACAAATTCCTCCTTCAATCCTAAAAGCTCAAGAATCTCATCTCTTTGATAATTCAACACCAAGCCCAGCAAAATAAACTAATAATCCCTTATTAAACATATAGCACCAAATCCATTCTTACACATTACATAAAAATCTTTATTATCAAGAAGTCATTCTCAAACTCGTATCTAGGTAAAAGAAAGAGAGTTTAAAAAAAAAAAAAAAAAAATAGATCGACATTGATAAAAAGATATAAAAGTAAAAAAAGGAACTATGTTTCCAAGCACGATATCCTATGAAACAAAAGATGAGATACTCTACATATTCACAATGAAACTCCACAACTTATTATGAACTTGCAAATATTCACAACAATCTAATTTTGCACGAAAGATTTTGTAGGTTTTTATAGAAAACATAGTTAAATCATCATCATTCAATAAATAAAGGAAAATACACAATATATATATATATATATATATATATATATATATATATATATATATATATATATATATTACTACAACATAAACCTTAAAGTATAACCACTAGTTGTCCAGGGATGGAGGGGCAGAACTAGAACTAACGTCAAGTGTTGCGAGACGCCTGGGAATCTTCAGTCTATTAGCGTTAATGGCATCAAATTCCAGCATGAGGGGCTCATAGTTGGGTTTCTCCATCGACCATTTGGATTTGTAATAGGCTTCTCCTCGGGCCTTCTTTTGTAACCAAACAGGATTATCATCCATAATTCTAAAAAATGCCTTACGTCGGGACTTGTCATACAGTTCCCAAGTCAAAAACGCCTCTAGATTGCCATGGATGTACTCCAATGCAGATTGCTGGAATTCTTGGGACTTCTTGAAGTCATCGACCCCAGCTTGTCGAGCAAAAGAGAGTTGGGCCTCCAACTCTTTGATTTTCTCAGCCATCTCTTTAGTAGATTCCTCCACTGCTTCCACCTGCTCAATACCCACACTACTAGTCAAAAAAAACTCTAGAATGTGAATAAAGATGAATAGTAGAGAAAATTAAGAAAAAATCTAGGACAACCCAATCAGGTCGGTCAGCCGGTAGGCTGCAGTTGGTTTGATAACCACAAGGTTATAAATTTGATTCTCAGTCAGAGCAGCCTATTGACCTTCTTGGTCAGGTATATGGACAACTAAGGTTGATTTAACTGCAGTTAGGGTCACAAGGCGGGCCCAGTACACAATCTCGGTGGTGGGCAACCTACTAAGCTGGTTTACCTTTATTTGTTGATTAGGGTTACAAAGGCTGGATTTGTCCGTATACACCTTTGGATAGCAACTGTAAGATTCCTGGTCACTCAAAAAAATTAGGGAAAAAAGGGAGATCCAACCTTA